ATATATATATGTATGTATGTATGTATGTATGTATGTAACACATTTTTTCAGTGTTAGCATCAGTTGTCTTTGATACTTTCTAGCTATATTCACACAGCGCGGCTTTCAGTTGTCAGTTTCTTCATTTATCTGACGGCATAGATTCAAGCTGCGGCTTCTCAGGTGTAGTGGCGCGAGGTCTTCTATTGTTTTAATTTATTAGCATGCAATTACGTTGATGATTTTTACTAGTGCAATATAAACAATAAGGGGGGATTCTGTTGTACTCTACATTGTGAAAGATCAATATACAAGAATGATTAGTTACTGTATCGTAATGTCCTTTCTAGTAACGTGCACAAACGTGGCAGGTATTAATAATGCCAGGTCACATTTGCCTTACTTCCAAATAACAAATTCGAAGTGTGCTTTCTATTCACCTTTGACTGTGAACACATTTGGAATACCTGAACTGTCAAACACAAAAGTTTAAGGAATGAGAAAAAAAAAAAAAGATGAGACTGAACAGGTTAGTGTGAAAAGGACTTCTACCTTCTTAATTATTCCAAAGAAGTTGTACGGTCTTTTGGGTCCAGGAGTGAGGGTGGCATCTACACAGATGAAGGAGTATTTCCCAAATGGGGTTTGGTGAATATAATGAAAGGAACCTTCCTTTTGCCATCCTGAGTATTTCCTGGAAAATAAGTTTAAACAATTTAATAGCAAAACATTCAATAACATTCTCTGCTACCAAGCCCCTCACAAACTGTTCTCCCATATTCTCCAACAGCTACAATAAACCTGACTTGGCCTATAAAAGAGCCCACAGTAACAGTGCTGAATTACATGAAACTTGTAGTGCTCACAAATACACAGACTGAGTTCTTAAATAGACCCCCCTGTCCTTTATGAGTTCATCGAATCTTAGGCCCAGGCTCAACTGAAGACCTAAATCAAGATAAAGCCGCACCCCAACTCATTTAATTGTCAAATGCCAAATTCTCAGTGGAGCAGTAGAAGCTTTAGCATTTAATAATTAAATTATGGGGTGGGGGTAAGGATTACAGCTGAGAGGAGGGTGGTTAGTCTTTAACTTCCACATGGTGAGAAGCCTTGTCCTAGGATCGAATAGGCTCCGTGGGGAACAATCTAAAAACTAACACATACTTGCAGGCATTATATCATGTTAACCTTAGGTACGTTTTAGTGCCTAAGGTTAACATGCCTTGGTTGTTTGGTTGTTAACAAGCCTTGGTTGTTTGATGACATTCTGTGGCAGACATCTTCTCCTGGGCTGTGCCTGCGCAGTACATCCCCATTGCCTTCTATTATCCTATTCTGGGAGATGAGCTCCATAGAAATCAGAGGGGATTTACTGCACAGGTGTGACCAGGAGAAGGAGAAGTCTGCCACAGGATGTCACCAAACAATCAAGACCAAGCTTGGTAATTATTCATCTCTGAACAAGGTGGGAAGCAACAACCAAATTCTGCAAGGCTACATTTTTATAAGGTTCTCATTTATCCAGGTCATGGTATAGCTAGTAGTAGTTAGTACATTTTCCTACATTATACCTTCATATAGTGTTAAAGGAAGCCCGTCATAATATATAGGGGGTTGTCCTCTGTAATTGTCCGGCTGTCATACAGACTCTGTAATAAGCTTGCAGATCAAGAGTCTCACTAGTTTACTTCAATGCTTTGAGTCACTGAATAAAAACAGTGTGAAGTATAAGGGTCAGGTAGCATTTTAAAGGAAACTGATAAAACCTACCTAGAGGCAGTCATTGGGGACCTTCTGACAATGCTAGATGTCTGGCAGCAACACAGGCCCTTTGTACTCATTTCACTAACGGTGAACAAGGATAGATAGATAGATAGATAGATAGATAGATAGATAGATAGAGATAGATAGATAAAAGGAAAGTCAGAAATGCTTATGTGCACGACTGTTCCAGATCACTGAATAAAAAGAACTGAAGCCTCTAGTCCACAATGTCAAGACCAAAATCTCCCCAATAAGGCACAGATGGCATAAAAAAACCTACCCAGTTTAACCCTTCAATACTCCATCTAAAATGCCCTTCACTTGCCCTCCTTAAGTTGAAAGTTGCTCTAGCTGCTGCTTATGCAGGGCTAAGGACTCATTCCCTGACCCCATGTGATACTGCTGGGCCAAACAATAATGTTGTCCCATGAGTGTACACACATGATCCTCCATACCCGAAAACAACAGATGCACTATATTGCCAAAAGTATTGGGACATCCCTCCAAATCATTGGATTCAGGTGTTTTCCGTGAGATTTCCCTGCTACTAAATATTCCACGGTCAACTGTTAGTGGTATAACAAAGTGGAAGCAACTGGGAACAGCAGCAGCTCAGCCATGAAGTGGTAGGCCACGTAAAATGACAGAGCGGGGTCAGCGCATGCTGAAGTGCGCAGAAGTTGCCATCTGTCTGCAGAGTCAATAGCTACAGACCTCCAAACTTCGTGTGTGCTTCAGATTGGCACAACAACAGTGCGGAGAGAGAGCTTCATGCAATGGGTTTCCATGGCCGAGCAGCTGCATCCAAGCCTTACATCACCAAGTGCAATGCAAAGCGTCGGATGCAGAGGTGTAAAGCACGCCGCCACTGGACTCTAGAGAAGTGGAGATCTGTTCTCTGGAGTGACGAATCACACTTCTGTCTGGCAATCCGATGAACGTGTCTGGGTTTGGCGGTTGCCATGAGAACGGTACTTGCCTGACTGCATTGTGCCAAGTGTAAAGTTTGGTGGAGTCGGAATTATGGTGTGGGGTGGTTTTTCAGGGGTTGGGCTTGGCCCCTTAAGGAACTCTTAAGACATCAGCATACCAAGACATTTTGGACAATTTCATGCTCCAAACTTTGTGGGAACAGTTTGGGGATGGTCCCTTCCTGTTCCAACATGACTGCGCACCAGTGCAGAAAGCAAGGTCCATAAAGACATGGATGAGCGAGTTTAGGGTGGAGGAACATGACTGGCCTGCACAGAGTCCTGACCTCAACCAGATAGAACACCTTTGGGATGAATTAGAGCAGAGACTGCGAGCCCGGCCTTCTCGTCCAACATACCTGACCTCACAAACGCACCTCTTGAAGAATGGTCAAACATTCCCATAGGCACACTCCTAAACCTTATGTACAGCCTTCCCAGAAGAGTTGAAGCTGTTATAGCAGCAAAGGGTGGGCCAACTCAATATTGTACCCTATGGACTAAGACTTGGATGCCATTAAAGTTCATGTGCATGTAAAAGCCGGCGTCCCAATACTTTTGGCAATATATCACTCCCAGTGGCTGAACAGGAAAGGTGAAAATGTGCTGCTGAAGAGGGAGGTGTTACGTAAAATAAAAACGATGGTCAGTTTATGGACATTCTAGTATTTACAAGCAGTAAACAAGTTTTAGACAAGCCGTCACTGATCTCTGTAGCCGCACGAACTGTGGAACAAATCGTCCTCGGCAGTCACAACAGCACATACTGTGCATTTACATTAGAGATTGGAAGGCTGCCGAGTCAATGCTGGGAGGGGGAGCAGAGAAGCTCTGAGAATGAATTAGACAAACATTAGTGCTTGTGCCGAGTAGTGTCTGCAGCTACAGAGGAATCATGTTAAATCTTATTTACAGCTTTACTTGAATGTCCATAGTCTGGCTACAGATTCATTTTAAGGTAACCACCGAATTAACTCAAAATATGTGCTCACTCTAGATACTATTCAATTTTCCCTTTACTCAAACTCTATAAGACACTGGTAGGTATAATGTATTTATCCCACATACCCCAACGGTAACGTCACATTTCCAGGTTCTGTACCTGTAGTAGTTATTGATGCTGCTCAGGTGTGCAATGTTAAATGAATCTGCAATGTAGACAAGAAAAAAGGGTTTTAGTCAAGAAGCTATATAGACATACCAGAAACATATGGAGAGTCATGTATAATATAATATGATGACAAAGAAAGTGGAGGTGTAGCTCATAGTCTAAAAGAATGTAATAGTCTACTACCATGATTCCCACGAATGTCGATCCATTTGGTTTTCTCCAATATCTGGGACTTCTTCAGAACAGATCTGTAAATCTGCCATTCTTCCTCAAACTGGTCAGACCCCAATTTATCTTTGGTTTTGCCATCTGTCAGATCACCTTCAAACAAGTTCAAATTCAGCTGATAATACATTTCTAAACATAGCGGCTTACCGCATACATAAAACTGCTAATTCAAGTTACTTTATGAAGCTGGCCATAGACTGCTCAAATTAAAGCAGAGTTGACTGGATTGACTTGGAAGAAATACAAGGTGTGGATAGCTGTGCCGGTACCCCTTCCCTTCGACATGAATTATCTTGCTTTGCATGTAATGAGTCTATCTCATATATTAGTTCCACCTTTTAAGTTGCATTAGTGAAATAAATGAACTTTGCACGATATTCTAATTATTCGAGTTTCACACATACATACATACATACATACATACATACATATATATTCCTGTTCATTGATAACAGGGGCTACAGATAGATAGATGTATCTATCTATCTATCTATCTATCTATCTATCTGTAGCCCCTGTTATCAATGAACAGGAATCCTCTATACTGAGTGTTCCTGTTCATTCATAACTTGTGGACATTGTGTGTTTACTATAACCACAATCATGAATGAACAGGAAGTGATGTAGATCACTTCCTGTTCATTCATAATTGGGGACACTATAAACATACTAGGTCCTCAATTATTTACAAACACTCAGCAATCACTGATCATTGTACCGGCTCTCCATCCTGACAGCTGTCACAGGGGGCTGGGCTGGGCGGTGCGGGAGGAGAGCTCAGCCTCCTGTGACAGCTGTCCTGATCTGTGACAGGAGGCTGAGCGGTGTGGGGACGAGAGATGCTGGCCGCTCACAGCGCTCTCTTCCTGCACCGCTTGGCCTCCTGTGACATTTTCTCTCCACCCCGCTGGGCCCTGCTCTATGAGAGAAAGCAGAGATGCACCGCTATTTCGGCCACAAAATGGCACTTTCGGCATTTTTGGCCGTGTTGTTTCAGCGGCCAAAATTTCGGTGCTTCCCTAACTATATACATATGTGTATATATATTATATACACATACATACACTTTAAATGATTACTAAGTTTGATCTTGGCCACTTCGGAGTTAATTAAACCGCACTATACGCATCATTCAACAACATTTTTGAAAACCAAGGAGTGCCAACGAAACATTATCTCACCTGTTACTAGAACAAGGGCCGGCTGGATGATCGCAAGGCTTTCCGTACAAAAAGACTGAAACTGTGACACCCTTTCAGGATCCAGGAATTTACTAACATGGATATCGGTCACCTATAAAACAGAAAATACAGATCTCTTATTTTATATGTCTGATTTATTTACAGTTCACAAGGCAAAAAAAAAATAATCCACCAGTGACCACTTCCTGGTTCATTCCATCATCAGCACTGAATTTTAAAAAATCATATCCGTTCCATTTTAAAGCCCATTTCATTTTGCGAAATCTAGCTATTTTAAAAATGAACACTCGCTATGGGGCTACCCCTGCGCTGTAAGGGTTAACTGCTTATTTTGGTCTATGGGGTCGGCATACAGAACATATACTCACCTGATCTTCGGGTCCTCTGGAGGTAAATGCTCACCTCTCTGCCCCTCCGCTTTGGCTGTGGTAAGTCCCTCAGTGTCCTCACATCTAATGCAGGTGAATAGACTGCATTAGACGTGATGATGTCAGTGGGAATTAGACCATTAGAGCCTGTGGGGACAGGAGACTGCGGGGACTGGTCTAGCAGTCAGACGGGACTGAGAATCACTTAAGTTTTTTTAAACCCCCAAACCAAAAGGAGCACTACTGCAAGGGTTAATATTTTAGATACCTGTAGTCCCGCTCTCTGGTTACTCTCGCCTATGGTCAAGTTGGCCCATTGCTTCTTGTACTACTTCCTTTTTCAATTGTTTTGTTTCTAAGCCAATCACTTTCAACTCCACCGCTGCCCATTGCTATCCATTGTTTGATGATTGGCTTCCTCAGAAAAGATGCTCGGACAACTACGCCCCGGCGATTGTTGCCAAGGGACAGATTCCATAGTTATAAGGAGGTAACTGACACGTCAACTCAGTGGAAACCTTGTTATCATTATATGACCAAAACTCTGGACATGGTTTCCAGCAAACCTTTCATGTGGAACAGGAACAAACTATATGAATGAATAAATGCAAAGACCTACAATGAAAAAGACAGAAAGATGCTCCATATCATTGGTCGCCGACTCTTCCACCAAGAGTGCTACAAAAAATGCAGTCATTGAAAAGATCTGTTAAAAAAGAACTCTAATTAACCCTCTCATTTAAACCTTGCAGTGCGGGGCTACCCCAGCACTGCAAGGGTTAAATGAGAACTATGGGGTACACCTTTTTTTTACATTTTTAGTTTGCTTAAAATACAAGAATACATTTTGCAATGTACTCCTGTAATAAAAAATGCACCATAAGCTTACAATTCAGTGTAATGTAATGTGGGCGGGGCTAAGCTCTGTGCTGAGAAGAGATCCTCCTCTCCCACTGAGTTGACACTCAGCTTGTAGGAGGTGCTACAGGTTCATGAGAACCTATGGGAAAGGGGACCTGATTTTTCTCATAGGCAGTTTGACTTTCACTTACACATCACCAGTGACTGGACAGTTAAAGGAGAAGAGCACTGATGAGTTCATCTCTGTCACTTTGCTGTCTCCTCCTAGCAACCTGCTCATTGCACTGTAGCACACCTCCTGACTAGCTCCTTGTGCTGCTTCTCCATCCCCTAGTATGAGCTCCGTTGTAAAAGGACTGCAATAGTTTGATATATAGATATCTATATATATATACAGTAATACCTCAGTTTACGAGCATAATTCGCTCCGGCAGCATGCTTGTAATTATATATATATATATATACACACACACACACACACACATATATATACATATATACATACACACACACACACAGGATGTATTAATGAAGATGGAGCCCAGGGAAGAAGAGGCTGCACGGACTGGTCTAGCAGCCCCTAGGGAGCCAAATCAGGAGAGTGGTATAGCTTTATTGATGCCACCTAGACAAAATGAGCACTTAACTCTTGCAGTGCGGCGGGAGGGGGTTGAGGGGGGTAGCCCCACTGCAAGAATACATTTTTTTTTTGTTTGACTTGAGTTCTTCTTAAAACGTCCAGCATCATTGCAACACACATGATTGACTCCTTATGCTGTTTCACCCTCCCCCTCTGAGCTCTGCTGTAGACTGCAAGAGCTTGATGCTAGATCCAATTCAAGTAATTACACTGCTTGCATTTAAACACCACATTTAATGATGTATTATTTAGGGACGCACCAAAATTCTGGCCGAAAATGGCACGATGCTGATAGTACCAGTAGTGCCGGTCTGTGTCCCCAGCTCTTTCCCGCCTATGTTGGCAGAGGCAGCAGGGATTGGAGGGGACAGAGACCAGTGCATGGCGGGGAGGAGAGATACTGTCAGGATGCTGAGTGGGGCAGTGTGGGGTGGAGACAGCTGTCAGCTATCACAGGAGATCGATCTCTTCTCTTGCACCACCTCGCTCAGCCTCCTGTGACAAACGGAGAACTCAGCATTGAGAGCGGGTTACAAGCACTCAGCAATCAGAACTGATCGCTGAGTGTTTGTAAATAACTGAGGACATAGTAAGCTTGCTTTGTCACCAGTTATGAATGAGCAGGAAGTGATCTATGTCACTTCCTGTTCATTCATGATTGTGGACATAGTAACTGCACAGGTTATGAATGGAAAGGAGCACTCAGTATAGAGAATTCCTGTTCATTCAGTCGATGCAGAAAGAGATTTAGGACTCTGTGTCCTCAATCTCTTTTTCTATTTTAAAAAGGGAAATATCAGGGGTCTGTTTCCCCAGAGCCCCCCGACAGGAAAATAAAAAAATAAATAAAAATAAAATAAAAGATACATTTTAAAAGTTTTAAAGCATTTTGGGGAAGAAAAGTAATCATTCCATTTTGGCCTGATCATTTTTGTATATTTCATGTACGGTCTAGCAATGTTATATTGATGCATCCCTAGTATTATTGATTACAAAGCTCCATTCATTTGTGTCTTTTATATCTGAATGACAGAGATCCCAATCCTTCCATAGTCTAAATAAAAAGGGAAAATCATTTTGGCTGGAGCTGGGCAATATCATTAGAACACAGGACATGCTCCATTGTATATGCTCACCTGTACAGCCCAGAAGATGTTACTGAGCTCCTTCCCAGGCCATGGTCCAGTCATGTCCCCTGCATGTCTGGTTCTGAGCTGAGCCCTGCGACCAGTGCTGCTATAGCTGCCCAGAATCAGAGCCAGAAGCAGCCCCAGCACCAAGCCAGCCACCAGCTTCAGCATCCTTCCAGGACTGAGCCCCATTCAGAACCCTCCAGCTGGCCTGGCCCCGCCCCACTCCTGACAGAGCAGCCTCAGCGCTTCCGCGTCCATCACTTCCGCCTTGCTGACAGCCACCATAGAGAGGATGCACAGGGGCCAGACAAGTTCTACGCACTGTTAGCTAAGGGGCGGGGCTGACTTATAAACGACGTATTTTTCTTTGGAGGACCGATGTCTATGGCTACTATGTGTAGTAAATGTCAATGTCTTTGCTGGATTATTTAATGGGAGCGCCACACATCGGCTAAGCTCTGGAAATATGTGAGATTGTTTAACTGTAACGTTTGGGTAATAAAACAGAATAAGCCTATAGTCTACTGTGAATTTTAGTGCCTCCTAGCGGTTACCTGAGGGAAGTGCACGTCTTTCACATGCCTGCCTATTCGGCCGGAAGGCGAGTGTGAAGCCGTAAACCACACCTTGGCTGAAGACGTAGTGTCGTGAGGTGTTGTGATACTGGAGCTGGTCTGAGCGCTGAGAGGATGGAGGAAGCTGCTGCAGGCGGAGAGCTGAGGGGAGAGAATGTCCCCAGCCTGGTGAGAGCTGAACTGGATGTTTACAGCTGTGCTGTTTACTGCAGCCTGTGCTGAGTGGCAGGAGAGGAGTCGGTGACAGGAGAGGAGTCGGTGACAGGAGAGGAGTCGGTGCTGGGTGACAGGAGAGGAGTCTGTGCTGGGTGACAGGAGAGGAGTCTGTGCTGGGTGACAGGAGAGGAGACTGTGCTGGGTGACAGGAGAGGAGTCTGTGCTGGGTGACAGGAGAGGAGACTGTGCTGGGTGACAGGAGAGGAGACTGTGCTGGGTGGCAGGAGAGGAGTCTGTGCTGGGTGGCAGGAGAGGAGACTGTGCTGGGTGGCAGGAGAGGAGTCTGTGCTGGGTGGCAGGAGAGAAACCTGTCATGAGAGATTTTGGGGGCTTCTGAGTAGCATGTAGTAGCCTGGCTTCAGCACGTCTGGACCCCACACCTGACACTGACATTCACCATCTGAGAATCACAGAGAACACTTGGAACCATCAGCATACTCGCAGGAACAACAAACCGTCACTGCGGTCAGACTCCATGTCCAGTAATACAGCTGCTCATGTTTGTTCCACATACTGTACGTGTTGCAGTAAGGGTTAAATGCTCTCGCACACAGCACGGCAACATGGTTCTCCAGTGGTCCGGCCATATGAGCAGAGCTGCATAAGAAATGTGAGCACTGTTGGAGCAGTGTGCAGGAGGTGTGCCAGACCGCTGGAGACCTGGACGTCTGCACTGTATGTGAGAGCACAGAGGTCTGACTCTCCAACGTGCTGCCAACACAGGGTACTTAACCCTTACTGCCCCCCACATACAGTATGTAAATACTGCAATAACACAAGTGTGCTTTTCCTGTGTATGCCGCCTGACTGCAGTAATTAGTACAGAAGGTTCAGTTGGGTTTTATCTTCAGGACTGTGTGGCATGGTGGGTTGGTTTGCAGCTCTGGTGCTGAGTTTTAAAGCCGCCTAAAGAGGAGCTGTATGGGGGAATGGTGCGGCGGCTCGTGACATAATGTGCGCGTTTGCACAGCATACATACTTGGCAATAGTTTGGTCTCCTCAAGCGCTGACAGCTTGTTCCATCACATTGGTGTCTTCTTTCTTTGGCCATTGGGCAGCCACTGGTGATGTAAATTTAACTTGCACAAGAGCTTCACCAGGCTACATTCTCTGCCCCTTCCAGATGCCAGGGGTGAGCTGAGCATGTACATTACCCACTGCAGGCAGTATACACAAGAGTCTCTTTTACTAAAACATGCTCTGTCCGCTGCCCATTGTTGTTTTCCCTCTTTAGTTCCACCAAAGGTACCCTCTAATGCAGCGGTTCTCAACCTGTGGGTCGGGACCCCTTTGGGGGTCAAATGACAATTTGCCAGGGGTCGCCGGGAGTCTCCCACTATTAGATAGCTATTAGATTATCATCATTATTATTAATAATAAAAGCTGACACCCTCGGCTTGTGTTATATGGTTTGCCATTTTAGCTGTTACAACAGTGGTTCTCATCCTGTGGGTCGCTGTGTGATTTCTGCTGTGCTCGGTGAGAGTCCTCCTCAGCCCTCTCCTAGCGCAGCAGTGTCAGTTCTCCCGCCACGCCGCCAGATATGGCTGCAGCAGCCGCGTCAACCCTAAATTTTACCGTTGGGGGTCACCACAACTTGGCAAATGTTACCAAGGGGTCCCGGCCCTAGAAAGGTTAAGAACCACTGCTCTACACCGAATTGTATTGTCCTTCCAGGGTCTGTGTGGCTTCCATCAATAGCTTTAGTTTTCTCCCACAGCCCCAGGCCCTGTTCACAATTACTACGTGCACAAGGCAGCCCTGTCATTTCGATGGGCTGCCCTGCGTGCAACAAATGCAGCAAGGTAGCTCATGCAGTTGTTTTGGCTGCGAGCTTATTTTATTTAAGTTATTTCTAGTTATTTGAGTGCGTTTTCACATAACCATTTGTTGTACTGGCTACGTTTGGGGTGCCGTTAGCATGTTTAATGACACGTGCATTTTGCGCACATTCCTTCGCACAGCAAGTATGACTGGTGCCTCAAATATACTGGGATGTTGTTTAAGGCCCTGTTCACACTGAGTGGTTTATCGCTCGATTTTTGCCGCAAAATTGCGCTATGTAGCTTGTCCAATGCATTTCAATAGAGCTGTTCACAGCTCAATGTCGCCTGTTGCTCGTCGCTCGTACACGACCCTTTTTTGCGCGGATGTCGCACGATTCGGCTCCAATAGACTCTATAGTGTCGCGCAAAATTGCGCATTACCGGCGATATTGCGCTACAGAAGGGTCACTTTTGCAGTGCAAAATGGAAGGAAAGAATGATGTCACATCAAGATCGCTGTCGATTGGTTACAGCCCAATGTAGCAGCGACAAAGTCCCGCCCAAAAAACGCACTGCGTAGTGCAATAAAATGTGCAATGTCGCTCAATATCGCGCAATGTAGCTCATAGTCGCTACGCGCGGAAAAACGCGCAATATCCATGTCGCTCAGTGTGAATGGGGTGTCACATCCTTCAGATTGTCTACAGTGTGTAATTGGGGTATACACATTGAAGGGAATTTATCAAAACTGGAGCAGACAGAATCTGGAGCAGCTGTGCATGGCAACCAATCAGCTTCTAACTTTCATTTTCAAAGCTTAAAGGTGCCCATACACTGCACGATTCTCGTACGAGAATCGCAGGAAATCCCGCGATTATACGAGAATCGTGCAGTGTATGGAAGGCGTGCGACTGTTTCTACTGTACGGACGCACGACTTTTGTATTTCGAGCATGTTGGAAAACCTGCCGAGAATCGTACAATTTAACATGATCGAGAGACGACTGCCGAACGGGCCGGTGTGCGCACGCACTACCCGCTTGCAATGATCGCAAGTACGATCTGCCTGTCCAAGATGGGCAGATCGTACGTTTTTTTAAGTACTTTACAACCATCGCAAGACAAAAGTCTTGCAAGGGTTGTAAAGTGTATGGCCACCTTAACTGAACAAACTGAAGAGAGAAGCTGATTGGTTGTCATGCACAGCTGCTCCAGTTTTAATAAGTTCCACCCATTATACATGTGCAGTGGTATGCAGAAAAGCACAGGTCAATGGACATGGTGTGAACAAGCCATGAAGCTCTGTGATGGGTGTCAGTGTTATGGAAATACTAGAAATAAGTAGTGGAGTAAAAGTGTAACAAGCCAAGGCAAACCTTATTTCTTTGTTTGGTTTTAGATCGAGCGCGTAAAAGTTAGAACCTTCCTCCTATTGGCAAATAAAACCCGCTTATCCAGAGTTTAGAGTGGTACTCCAGCCTAAAATCGGTTTTTATTTTGTTTTGGATAGCGGGGGTAGCATAGAGCTTCTGCCATGTTTTATTGCCTGGGGAGATTTTCCTTCACTTCCTTCTTTTTGTAGCATGGGAAAGGATCAGCTCATCGGTTGGATTTATACTGTACGTCTGCACTGCTATTAGGGAGTTCCTCCCTTATTTCCTGCCCAAGAGACAGTAGCCAGCCGGACAGAAAACAAATGGAAACCTCCCCTAATGCTGTTATTATTATTCATCCCCAGAGTTACTCTCTGACTTGTTACATATTAATGAAAATTGCATGGGGTTTAAAGCCAATCTCCAGGGAAATGAAAAAAATTCCCCTTGCAGTGGGGCTACTGCAAGGATTAACTGCTCGGTATTCTCTAGGGCCGTGGTTCTCAACTGGTGGGTCGCAACCCCATGTTCAGTGGTCAAGCCACCTTTCTACTGTTTCCCATGTTCAGTGGGTCGCCGTGTGCCTTCCACTGCGCTAGGTGAGAGGCTCCTCAGTCTCCCCCCTAGCGCAGCACTGTCAGTTCTAGCTCTGATCAGCCATTTAAAATATGCTGCCCGGCACCAAGTTTCCGCTTGGGCTGGGGGTATGGCCGCGATGGAAGTTCATCCATACGTACATTGCCTACAGCTTCTTCGCATGCCCTGTAGAGGTGCTTGGACCGGAGTGACGTCACATTCTGGTTCACAACAAAGTCCAAATCCCATTCGCACTGCCACAGTCTCAAAACCACAAGGTATATGTGGTGCCCAGGTGACCACACGGATGGCGCCTTGCAAAACACTGATGGTAAATAAAAGTAATTCACCGGCACACACTTGAAGGGGTTTTATAGTATTGATATGTTTGTTCAATACCCAATGTCACATACTGTCATACGGTGCATACCATGCAATCGCACCTACCGCGCTTTCTGGTGTGGGAGGTGCGTCGCATTGCCAATCATCTGAATGGCACCCCAAATGCACCTTCCCCCCACAGCAACTTGGGTCACGACTTGATTACCAATTTCAAATGTGGGTCCTGAGGTTACCCTGGCTGAGAACCACTCCTCTAGGGGACCTGTGTAAACTTTTCACTTACCTGTTCCTGGTACCCTGGCAGTCGGCACTCTCATCTTCTCCCCTATACTCGGGCTTGTGAACTATCCTTCGGTGTCCTTATACATAACGCAGGGCTATGGGCCCTGAATTGTACGTGATGATGTCAGCAAGCCTTTGACCGGCAGAACGCAGGGTTTTGTAGGGTGCTGTGGGTGCCAGTCTTGAAGCCAGTGCGAGCAGGAATCAGGGTAGGTCTTTTATACAGGTACCCTACACATAAATGATCAGTTACCCTTTGCAGTGTGGAAGCAGCCCCCCTTGAGGGGTATTTCTTTTTTTCCTGGAACTAGTCATTTAGAAATGTACATACGGTAGCAGACAATGGGTTCATGTTCATTTGTTTGTTTTTCAGCAATATGCACTTCACTTGGACTGATCATTCTGTAGAATAGGAATGTACAGGGTTAACTGTACGGCCTTCAAGCTGTTACAAAGACAAGGAAAGTCCTATGATTTCCTGCCAGCATATGGAATGTTTGGTAGAAATGTAGCTAACACAGAAATATAGCTACATATCTATAAATCTGTAAAAGTAAATGTTACACTTGTTTCCACCGAACATCACAATTGTTTTTTGCTTTCAGTTGTGTTTG